GCATTCCTATACACCAATAACAGACTTAAACAGAGCCAAATCAAGAATGAACTGCCATTCACAATTGCTACAAAGAGAATTAAATACCTAGGAATACAATTTACAAGAAACGTAAGGGACCTCTTCAAGGAAAACTACAAACCACTGCTCAACAAAATAAGAGAGGACACAAACAGATGGAGAAATATTCCATGTTCATGGTTAGGAAGAACCAATATCGTGAAAATGGCCATACTGCCCAAAGTAATTTACAGACTCAACGCTATCCCAATCAAGCTACCATTGACTTTCTTCACAGAACTGAAAAACACCACCTTGAACTTCATATGGAATCAAAGAGAGCCCACATAGCCAAGTCAATTCTAAGCAAAAAGAACACAGCGGGAGGCATCACACTATAGGACATCAAACTATGCTACAAGGCTACAGTAATCAAAACAGCATGGTACTGGTACCAAAACAGAGATATAGACCAATGGAACAGAACTGAGGCATCAGAGTCAACACAACATATCTACAACCATACAATCTTGGATAAACCTGACAAAAACAAGCAATAAGAAAAGGACTCCCTATTTAATAAATGGTGTTGGGAAAACTGGCTAGCCATTGTGCAGAAAGCAGAAACTGGATCCCTTCCTGACATTTTACACTAAAATTAACTGCAGATGGATTAAAGACTTAAACATAAGACTTGGCACCATAAAAACTCTAGAAGAAAATCTAGGCAAAAACTTTCAGGACATAGGAGTAGGTGAGGGCTTCATGACCAAAGCACCAAAAGCACTGGCAACAAAAGCCAAAATAGACAAATGGGACCTAATCAAACTCCACAGCTTCTGAACAGCAAAAGAAACAGTCACTAGAGTGAATCAGCAACCAACAGAATGGGAAAAAATCTTTGCAGTTTACCCATCTGACAAAGGGCTGATATCCAGAATTTACAAAGAACTCAAACAGATTGACAAGAAAAAAACAAATAAGCACATTCAAAAGTGGGCAAGGGATATGAACAGACACTTTACAAAAGACGACATACATGAGGCCAACAATCATATGAAAAAATCCTCATCGTCACTGGTCATTAGAGAGATGCAAATCAAAACCACATTGAGATACCATCTCACGCCAGTTAGAATGGCGATCATTAAAAAATCTGGAGACAACAGGTGCTGGAGAGGATGTGGAGAAAAAGGAACACTTTTACACTGCTGGTGGGAGTGTAAATTAGTTCAACCATTGTGGAAGACAGTGTGGCGATTCCTCAGGCCTTAGAAATAGAAATTCCATTTGACCCAGCAATCCCTTTACTGGGTATATATCCAAAGGACTATAAATCGGTCTAATATAAGACACATGCACACGAATGTTCATTGCAGCACTGTTTACAATAGCAAAGACCTGGAACCAACCCAAATGCCCATCGATGATAGACTGGACAGGGAGAATGTGGCACATATACATCATGGAATATTATGCAGCAATCAAAAATGATGAGTTCGTGTCCTTTGTAGTGACATGGATGAATCTGGAGAACATCATTCTCAGCAAACTGACACAAGAACAGAAAATGAAATACTGCACCGGGCGCAGTGACTCACACCTATAATCCCAGCACTTTGGGAGGCTGAAGCGGGTGGATCACGAAGTCAAGAGATTGAGACCATCCTGGTCAACATAGTGAAACCCCGTCTCTACTAAAAATACAAAATATTAGCTGGGCATGGTGGCACGTGCCTGTAATCCCAGCTACTTGGGAGGCTGAGGCAGGAGAATCGCCTGAACCCGGGAGGCGGAGGTTGCGGTGAGCCGTGATCGCGCCATTGCACCTCCAGCCTGGGTAACAAGAGCGAAACTCCATTTCAAAAAAGAAAAAGAAAAGAAAATGAAATACCGCATATTCTCACTCATAGGTGGATGATAAACAATGAGACCACATGGACACAGGGAAGGGAGCACTATACACTGGGATCTATTGGGGGGAATAAGGGAGGGACAGCGGTGGTGGGGGGGAGCTGGGGAGGGATAGCATGGTGAGAAATGCCAAACGTGGGTGAAGGGGAGGAAGGCAGCAAAACACACTGCCACATGTGTACCTATCCAACTATCTTGCATGTTCTGCACATGTATCCCAAAACCTAAAATGCAGTTAAAAAAAAAAATCAAAACAAAAAACACAAACTGAAAAGAGGGTACAAGCAACTACCATCTGTCCCCATAAGCAATTATCAGCTGGCCATCCGCCCATACACTGGGTAATGATTTTAACGCTGGTGATATCTTACTGAGATACTCTCTCTCCATAGAGCTAAAGAAAGGGAACCCATTAAAAAATGCTGGTCCTTCTAGTTGTTGTTTGTGAATGTTTTCTCCCATACAAAAGCTTATCATTTAATTTGTCTCCCTATGCTTTTGATTATAAATTAAAAAGTTATTCTTTGTGACCCATCTGCAAACACCTGGCCCTTGCAAATAGATGCTTCTATCTAAAAATTACCACAAAGCGTTAGTGCAACTATTGATATAATTTAGATCCATTCAAAATGAACCAAACTATCCAGGACATTATTAAAGAGAGCTAGTAGTAATGGGATTAACAATTAACCTCAGGCTCAAGCTAAGTAGTATAAAAAAGCCCACATCCAAATGAAAAGCAGTTCCCTTAAGCTTCAAAATCCACTCTGCAAAGTTTACAGTCCTTCTGGTGAGTTTATCGTCCTGTTTATTTTTCTGTGATGAACACTGAGGTGAAGTAGCATTTGACCGATTGTGAATAATACTTTAAATTAGAGCAGAATCCATCCAGTTCTTTATCGCAGACAATGACCAGATATAAAATCAAGATCTTCCTTGTGGTTTTAAGACTGAGTAATGGTTTGTTCAACCCTGATTTACTTATTTACTTTTTATATACAGTGGTTCCAAATGAAGTAGTGAGGTAGTTGACAGTCTTTACCAATAACATGTATTTCAAAGTTTAGAAATATTATGAAATAGACAATGTGGGTTTTCAGCAAGTGTCATTTCTTTGGAAACATATGTTAACTAAGTTTCAAAAAAAAATAGATTCAAAATATTTTACTATCAAGTATAACTTTTACCAGCTCTTCTCATTTAATAGGGTCATAAAAGATTATCTACTTGGGGCCAAGCACAGTGGCTCACACCTATAATCCCAGTATTATGGGAGGCTGACACAGGAGGATCAATTTAGACCAGGTGTTTTGAGACCAGGTTTAAAAACTCGCAAGACCATAGCTCTAATAAAAATTAAAATAAATTGGCTACGAGTAGTGGCACGCTTCTGTACTGCTAAGCACTTGAGAGGCTGATGAGAAAGCATGGCTTGAGCCCAGAAGTTCAAGGCTGCAGTAAACTACAATCATCCCCTGCAGTGCACTCCAGCCTGAGAAATAAGTGAGAACTGATCTCTTGAAAAATAAAATAATAAATTACTTTTCCTTTACTGGAAGACTAAGAAAGTTTTTTAAAAAGGCAAAATCATAACAAATGGAAAAAATACATACCCAAAACTTGGAATGGCAGGTTAAGAATTTTTATTCATGACACTCATGTAAAAAAGATGGGCAATTCTTAACCTGTTTATGTCCAGTGTTCCATTACTGGAATGCTAAGCATATGGTGGTTATTCATATTCTACTGCTCAAGGTGATCGCTAAGGTATGACTGCAAAAATGTATAAAATTGCCACTTTCAGCATATATAGGTCAAAATGATTTTGTAAAACCAAGTTAACCACTAACTTAGAATATCCGCACCTGAAGGTTTAGCAACTTTAATTCAGTAAATCTAAGGCCACTGTGTATGTCTTATGTAGCACAAGGATATATGAGGTACAGAAACATGACCAGCTGCTTACATGTTCTATATCTGATTGCACCCCTTAGTAATATGAAAAATAGAAAATTTCGACATCCTTCTTGTCTTGGATATAATCTCACATCAAATCTACTTCTCTGCATCACTATTTTCTACTTGCACTAGAAACATAAGGCTAGACCTCAAAAATTATATATACATATAGTAAGCTTCCCCCCACCCCATGAAATTCTCTTTGTTTTTTTAAGACAGGGTCTCACTCTGCCACACAGGCTGGAGTGCAGTATCACAGCACAATGCAGCCTCTAACTCTTCAAGTAAACCTCCAGCTATGACCCCTCAAAGCTAGCTTGAACTATAGGCACATGCCACTATACCTGGCCAACTATTAATTGTAAAGACCAGTTTGACTATATTACCCAGACTGGTCTCAAACACATGAACTCAAGAGATACTCCTGCATCATACTCTCAAAATGCTGGAATTAAGACATGAGTCACCATGAGCTACATGGTTATTAAATCTCTCCTTATTTCACAATTGAAATTCAAAATGTTCTGCTACTCACAATATGGAGAATCACTACCAATTTTTGTAAGTCTACCAGCTCCACCACAAACTGTAAATCCCTGTGTTACTATCACTTTAATACTGTAATAAAACTAAATCTGCTATACAAAGCAAAATATTTAAAAATTAAGTTGAAATCCCTTTAAAAACAGAAAACTTCCTAACAATGACTATTACAATCATTCATTGATATTTTAAAAGAAAACTAGACATTACAGAGTTAGTTGAAAGCTTCTTAAATATAGGCACCCTAGAGGCAAATTATATTAAATCAAAGCACTGCATACATAGCAAGTATTATATTTAGAAAATAAAATACAAAGTTTAAGATAGTTACAGAAACTGCTATATATAAATATTAAATAAAAATCTCCAATTCCTTTGTCTTTAACAACTTGATCATTAAACAAAATTTCAAACATATTTATTTAATTAGAGTAAAACACAAAATACATACAGGAGCATAATACCCAAAGTTCAAATTGACTAAGACGTTTATTTCATTTAAATTCTGATATTCTGAAGTACATTTTATTTCATATAAAGCATAGGTAACTGTTTTATTCTTGTTCTTAACTTAAAACACTTACCTGGGTTTCATGCAAATGGGCAATATGAAACTGAACTGCAATGGATCACGGGAAAAGATCAGTTACAATACAGTCTAATTTAATGTAATAACGTTTTTAAAAAGTAGGGATAATATAAAATGTCAGACATATGCAAATGCTTAAACTTTAGAATATACATTCGACAAGGAGTGAAACTTCTGTTTTTAGTTAAAAAATGAGATTAAACCTAATGAAGATCACAAGTATTCAAAGAAAAGCAATATAAAAAATTATGTAATACTGTAATCAATTTGTTTATAATTCTAATAATCATTAAAATCTGTAACAGGTTTAATTATACTTCATGAAAAGTTCTTAATCAGAATATTAAGTAAACACAAGCATTTAAGTTACATGTCTCAACATACAGTATTCTAATTTTTACATAACGATAACATAATAACTTAAAAACATAATATTAACTCTGTAATCAAGGAATGTTTTTCAAAGTATACGCTTTTTCTTTATACTCAATCTTTTGTTAACTACTTTAAGTTATAGATCAAATACTAGCAACAATATACAGAAAATTAGATTTCTTTCCATTTTCCAGAATTAGATCACTGATTTTTAATTAGAAACAAAAACGATCAAACTACCTAAAAAGCAAGGTATCAAAATAATTTATATATTGAGTCCTAAATAAATTTTAAAAAAATAACATATTTGAAGACTCAACTAAAAGACAAAATGTTTGGCTTCTTTCTGAAGCCTTTCTTGATGCCCAATTCCCCATCACCAGAGCACACAACAAAATCATGATGGATAATTACAAGTCCAATTATTTAAATTTTATAGTTTTTATTCATCCATGAAAAATATCTTTTCCCATTCTGTTTTAGGATATATCTTTTAAAACTCACAAAAATTATAAACACAATATTTATATTTTCAAAAAAATATGATCCCATGATTATGAATTTCTGACATCCTTTTGTCTCTCCTCCCTTCTGAACATTCCCCCTCCTTGCTTCTCCTCACTGATTTCAGTCACTGTCCTAAAGATAAATTATACCTGGGATGGATGATACAATTACCAATTCCTAGCTCAATTATTTAAGATTTTGATTTAGTGAACCTGGGTAAAAGTCTAGAAAGCAGCCTGTATAATATGTTCTGCAGCTTTTCAGTAAATTCCCCGTATCTAACATTGGAGACTAATGCATTAGATAATATAAATTCCTTTCCATAAGAGAAAAATTACTCCAAAACTCTGTAATTAACTAAAATCAAAGAAACTAAAAGTTTGTAAAAGCAGACAAACATAAAATGTTAAGTAATCAGCCATAAAGTAAAGAAAAACTTACAGAAAACGTTTCATTTCAAGATAATAACCTCTCCCCCAAAAAACAAAAGCAGTGAAAGAAAAAATCATACATATACACAACCAACCACTGCAGTTGACACAGGTTGAGAGTTCTTTCCTCCCCTTTCAAACAGGGCTTTTCTTACCACTAAAACTCAGGTAATCAAAATATCACGTCTCTGAATTGCTGAGATAAGCTGGATGATAAGTTAAGAAAAGAAAAAAAGTACCAGGTGCAGTGGCTTGTGACTGTAGTCCCAGTACTTTGGGAGGCCCTGTGGCCAAGATTTCAAGAACAGCCTGAGCAACATGGCAAATGCCCTTCTCCACAAAAAAATAAAAATATAAAAATATTAGCTAGACATTGCGGGCGGCTATAGTTCCAGCCACTTGGGAGGCTGAAATGGAAGGATCACTTGAGCCTGGGAGGTAGAGGCTGCAGTGAGCCATGTTTACACCAAATGCACTCAGCCTGGGCAACACAGTGAGACCCTGCCTCAAAGGGCAAAACAAAACAAAAACAAAAGGAACAAAAAGGCAAAGAAAAAACCAAAGACTATGTGTCATAGTACCCTCATATACCCATCAAATAAAAATAATACAAAAAATTAGTGGTAAGTAGCAACCTAACACCATCTAAATTTAAATTTAAATTAACAAATTTAAGCTGGAGTCCCAAGTCTCTGAGCCATCCCATAAAGTACAGTATCATATTTTGTAGGATAAATATCTCCACGTTGCATCCTTTTTTTTTTTTTTTTTTTTTTTTTTTTTTAAGACAAGAGTCTTGCTTTTTCACCCAGGAGTGCAGTGGTGCAATCTCATCTCACTGCAACCTCCTGGGTTTAAATGATTCTCCTACCTCAGCCTCCAGAGTGGCTGGGATGACAAGTGTGCACCACAGTGCCTAGCTAATTTTTGTACCGTTAGCAGAGATGAGGTTTCACCACGTTGGCCAGGCTGCTCTCAAACTCCTGACCTCAGGTGATCCACTCACCTTGGCCTCCCAAAGCGGTGGGATTACAGGTGTGAGCCAATGTGCCCAGCTCATGTTTCATTCTTATCTATACATTAAAAGGGAGTCTAACTATATACAACTAGGTGTGCTCAATATGGATAAAAAATGGACATAAAATGTCTTTAATATTCAAACATTTTTATTACAAAGTAAAATCTCATAATGAAAACTTTCATATGCTTTTCAAATCTGATTTTCCCCCAAAGTATTAACTGTAGTCATTCATCATCAACAGTTCAAAAAACAGTATTTATTTTTAAAATTACATATTTTTAACTTATTCATAACAGAACCTGAATTTTTTCATTCAGGTTCTGTTTAAAATAGGCTTTGAAAACGTTTTACTTTTACAAAATCACAAGTGCACAAAAGAGTTTCAAAAAACAGGCTCATGGTATGTGGAAATCCTAAAGTATTAAAAGGTGAAGTAATTTTTAATTTAAAAACATTGAAACTACAAAGTAAGAAAAACTACCTGATCTTAAGTAAGTAATCATTATTTGTTAGTGCTTTGTGAAATATCAGTCATTTCTACAGATATCAAATAATAATACTGAGTTATCTTTGGGAAAGAAACATAGTACCCAAATCACCTAAACTCCAGTAACTTAAACTCTCTGAAGCAGGCACATCCCTTCTCATTTCTCTTCACAAGAATCAAGGAAACAGTTTATCGGTACACAAAAGTATATTTGAGACATGATTTCAAATATCCTATCAATAATATTTTTTGGTCAAAAGTATTTTATTTAAAACTACTTACTTTCAGCACTGGACAAAGTACATGGATTACAGTCAATCAAAGCTAACTGAAAATGCTGGAAGAGAAAAGTAAAAATATTAAATTTACAGTTGCATAAAATGAAGTTTTCTATTTTAGGCTTTTAATGTCTATCATAAAATAACAAAGCTACCTTATATAAAAATGCACTACACTCAACCAAATAAACTTACTATAAACCCAAATTTATTTTTAAAATATATTATCAAGTTATTTCCCTGAGATAGTTCAGAACGGAGAGCATAAGAAAGAATTGCTATATCAACTATATTTATATTTTTTATTAAAAAACTTCATATATTTGAGTCTTCCCATAAACAAAATATTAAGGTATAAGATGAGACATGTACATCAATTCATTGTTTTAAAATGTGGAAAATCTAATTATATTTTTAGAGGATTATTTCTTATCTTAAGATGAGAAATAAACTTTAGAAATCAAATTAGATAATATGAGAATTAGCATAAAGAATAAAACATACCTGCTTTCATTGATTCTTCAATGTCACTACACTTCAAAACATTGAAAATCTGTATTACAACCTACACATACACACCAAATACCCATTTTCAAATTCACATGTAAAATACACTTGTTCTTGGCCAATAATTTTTTTTTCATTTTTTGACAAAAGAGGTAAAGAAACTGAACCTCAAGCACTGAAAGCAGCATGCTTTTAAACATATGTAAAACAGGATGCTAAGCATTTTAAATGTATCTAAATTGTGTGTGTAAAATATCTATAATCATTTATGAAATATTAAACATTTACAGTTCTACTCTAAATATATCATATAAGCCTATGCAGCATGCAAACCAACTTCTAATTCTCTATCTACTTATAGAATGAGTAATTACTAAAAACATAACGGTAATTTGATGTCTATAAACTATGAACTACTTTAAAGGTAATAGGAACAAGAATTGTTTTTTGCTTTTTGTTTTTTTTTTTTTTTGAGACAGAGTTTCGCTCTTGTTACCCAGGCTGGAGTGCAATGGCGCCATCTCGGCTCACCGCAACCTCCGCCTCCTGGGTTCAGGCAATTCTCCTGCCTCAGCCACCCGAGTAGCTGGGATTACAGGCACGAACCACCGTGCCCAGCTAATTTTTTGTATGTTTAGTAGAGACGGGGTTTCACCATGTTGACCAGGATGGTCTCGATCTCTTGATCTCGTGATCCACCCACCTCGGCCTCCCAAAGTGCTGGGATTAGAGGCTTGAGCCACCGCGCCCAGCCAAGAATAGTTTTAAATAAAAAATGCATATATCTCTTTTAAACATTCTACAAACTATCCCCATAAATATTCAATTTTCAGAGTCCCCACTAATTTTCAAGAATAATCAACCATAATAACAATAAAGAACAAGCTACATTAAAAGTCAACTAGAAAAAAATCGTATTTACAATGTAAGTTTTTAAATTGTGCTAAAGATACTGACATTTAATGTTAAAATGACAGGTAATATACAGAGTCAAAACACACGTTCTTTGTAAAAATAAATTGTATTAAACCATGTTTAAAAATTAAAAATCAATGCCGGAATCACTGAGCACCTAACTTTGCCTAGTCAATTTGAGAACAGTCAGTTAACAAAACAAATTAATGTCTCCTAAATGATATTACAATCAAAGAATGGGCACAAACAGCACAGTGAGAGTGAACACTGTGGCTACTAGATATACACCTGACATTTGTGTTACAATATTAAGCTTGATTTTTCAGCAAATGGTGTTTGAAAAAGTAAGTATCTATATAAAAAGATTAAAGTTGGGCCTCTGTCATGTCATATACAAAAGTTAGCTTAAAATGAATAAGACACATAAACTTAACAGATAAAACTATAAAAGTCTTAGAACAATATACAGGAAGAATCTGTATGATTCTGAATTTGGCAGTGATTTTTCTGGACATAACACCAGAGACATAGGTAACAAAAAAGGAGATTCACTTTGCTTCATCAAAATTAAAAACTCTGTACATTAATGAATCACAAGCAAGATACTGAAAAGAAAAAATATTTGCAAATTATAAACCTGATAAGTAACAAAAATATAGAATTGAAAATAAGTTATAAAAAGACCCAACAACTCAAAATAGGCAAAGAACTGGAATAGACATCTCAAATAACACATGAAAAGATGCCAATAAATATACGAAAAGATGCTCAAAATTATTAGTTAACAAGAAACACAAATCAAAACCATAATGTAATACCAATTCACTCTCATTAGGATAAGTAATATGAATCGAACCAACACAAAACAAGTTTTTTTTCTTTTCATTTACTGACAAAGAGATGAAGAAACTGAACTTCAGACACTGAAAACAGGGACTCAAAACTCTGTATGTATCAATATTCAAAGCAGCATTATCACAGGAGTCGGTGTGGAACAATGCAGATATTCACCAGAGATTAAAGGAGTAAGAAAATGTGGTTTGGGCCAGGCGCAGTGGCTCAAGCCTGTAATCCCAGCACTTTGGGAGGCCGAGACGGGTGGATCACGAGGTCGAGAGATCGAGACCATCCCGGTCAACATGGTGAAACCCTGTCTCTACTAAACATACAAAAAAAAAAAAAAAAAATTAGCTGGGCATGGTGGCGCATGCCTGTTATCCTCGCTACTCGGGAGGCTGAGGCAAGAGAACTGCCTGAACCCAGGAGGCGGAGGTTGCGGTGAGCCGAGATCGCACCATTGCACACCAGCCTGGGTAACAAGAGCGAAACTCCGTCTCCCAAAAAAAAAAAAAAAAAAAAGAAAATGTGGTTTATCTACAGAAAAGAATACTATTCAGCCATATTCAGCCTAAAAGAATGGGAGGTTTCTGCCAAGCTGTTTGAGGTTGCAGTGGGCTCAGATCACACCAATGTGCTCCAGATTTGATGACAGAGTGAGACCTTGTCTTTAAAAAAAAAAAAAAAGGGAATCTGATATATGTCACTCATTGATGAATATCTGAAATATACCAAGTGAAATAAGCCAGATATAAAAGGACAAAATTGTACAAGTATATTTATATGAGAATTCCAGAAGAGTTCTATTTAGAGCCACAAGTAGAATAAAGGAACTCCCATGTATTTGGAGGAAAGGGGAATGGCAAAGTATTGATTTATGGGTAGAAAATGTTTGTACAGGATAAAGCAAAGTTCTGAAAATGAAGAGTGGTAATGGTTTACACTTCATTGTAAATAATGCCACTGAAATGTATATTAAAATGATAAATTACATGTTATGTATATCTTTCCACAATACCAACCAAACAAAAAAGACAAAACCTAAAAAGTATTAGGACTTCATTTAACTTATAAAGTTACTATTTAACTTCATTTGTTGTTGTTGTTGTTGTTGTTGTTGTTATTGTTGTTTTGAGATGGAGTCTCTCTCTTGCCATCTAGGCTAAATAGTACAGTGGCTTGATCTCACTTCACTGTAACCTCCATCTCCCGGGTTCAAGTGATTCTACTGCCTCAGCCTTCCAAGTAGCTGAGATTACAGGTGCCCACCACCACTCCCAGCTGATTTTTTGTACTTTTAGTAGAGATAGGATTTCAGTATGTTGGCCAGGCTGGTCTTGAGCTTCTCACCTCAGGTGACCCGCCCCCCTTGGCTTCCCAACGTGCTGGCTGGCATTAAAGGCCTGAGCCACCTTAACTTCATTTTTTTAAGACTTACTGCTTGAAACATATTCTGAAATTGGTAAATTATGCATAATACAAATATGCTCTTAATAGTAAATACTTCATTCAAATTAATGAGAGATAATAATACATGAAGGGGTTCAGAGTATGCCACCCTAAAATATGCTATTCTGACATAAAGATTACTTTCAGCCACAGGTAAATCAGAAGAAACAGGCATAATAAAACTTCCTATTCTCCTTTCTAGCTGAAAGGCCATGAGAATTCCTAATTTGTGAAGACAACTTTATACTCATATAGGCTTAAAGGCAGCACAGGAGTAATCTACCTAACTTCTTCCCAAATATTTACCTTTCCACAAATTGACTCCCCTAGAAACACCAAGTCCCTTCCTTTTGTCCTGTCACTTCTCTATAAATTTACTGTTCTTTTGCTTATATCCCACAGCAGCCCATATTTTAATCACTCCTCTGAGTTACTCCCAAAAAGAAAATAAACCTTCAGGAACCCCTAAATTTATGGTGCCAAGGAGAAAGTGAAACCCTGAAAACTTAATCACATAGAATATTTGCAATTCTGCTTCTTATAGTTTCTTAGATAATAGCTCCAGCTCACTGATCTTTTTCAGTAAACAACTAGGAGACACCAGACATTTCCCCTTCCAATCACTAGTGTTTGGTAGAGATTGTCTCTTTTTATCAGCCTAACTCAGACTGGATAGTGCCCAAGATCCCATTACAGTTACATCTTTAGTATGAAATGTTAAATATGCCTTTCCTGAAAGAAAAAGCCTACCTCAGAAATCCCCCTTTTTTTTTTAACTATGCAGTAAGGCTTACATGGAAAGTTTTGTCTGTATAAGCAACCCGCAACTTCAACACTTTGTAAGACTTTCTTTGGAATCTATTTGCAGGGACTGTGACTTTTCAGTTGAATGAATAAACTCTCCTTAAACATTATGCTGACCCTTTTGATTACTTAGGTTGACATCACTAAGTTCTGCTGTGTATAAAGTACAAATGCACATATTAATAAATTTTTGTTTATTTTCTGTTGCTTTAATTTTTCTATCAGTCCAAATGCAAGACCCCAACCAATGAACCTAAAATAAATGAAAGCAAAAGTTTTTTTTATACGAGCTCAAAACAACTGCAGACATTGGAAATAAAAGGCTCAATAAAAAAAAATTGGACTGTATCAATGGTAATTTCCTAAATGTTACCTTTGAGAAAATTGATGGGTATATGGGATCTTTTTAAAATTACCTTTTATAATTATAAATATATATTTTTGAAATAAAAAGTAATAAAAGTAAAACTGGGGGGTGAGGAGGTCCAAAATGCCTGATTAGGAACAGCTCTGGATTGCAGCTCCCAGCGAAAACACAGAGGGTGAA